TGTGAACAATATAAACGACGAATATTAGATAAACGTATAGGTTAAGGTAACTGATTATTAATAAAACAATATTAATGAGCGCCTATATTAATAAGACTCATATTAATAACACAATCGATTAATGAACGTATTTAATAAATATATTAATGAACATATTATAAACAATATTAAATGAACTATATTAATGAACTCATTTAGCTAAATATATCTTCCCATAACTGTATTAATGAACTGGGGATATCTTAGTAAACTATCACCATATTAATAAGACAATATTAATAAAGACAGATTTATAAACTTTATATTATGACACTTATTAGTGAAACGTATATTGAATAACTGCATATTAATAAATATATTAATGCAGACTATAGTTAGTAAAAACGTATATTAACTAAACAGTCATTTAACTAAATAATCATTATAACTGGATATGTAATGAATATTTTAGTAAACTATTAGTTAATAAGAACGTATATTAATAAGTGTATTAATAAACTATATTAATAAACTATATTAATGACTTTAATGAGTCGCCCCGACAGGCTTCACAAGGCACAAGTTCTGTCAGGGCTTCCGTAGTTTCACAGGTGGGAAAACTGTTAGTGGTAGCTGTTAGCAGTAGCTGTTAGCAGTAAGGGTCACTGGAGGAATGAGTGCGAGCAAATGGCTCCATCTGTCACACAGCGACTGCAGGAGGAGACGCAGCACCTCCTTTATTTACACCTCCAGTGTGACACCGAGACTCTCTGCACACCTTCCATCTGAGCTAACGAGTCATTCAGCAATTAGTCCGTACAAAGAAAACAAATCTGTAATTAATGTTTGATTCAGTTCCTGTTACCTCATATTCTCATAGAAAAGACTATATTAAAAATCAGTAAAAAGTATGAAAGAAAATACAGTAATGATAAATAATATCAATAATTTTATATTATATTATTTTATATCATATTACATTATATTATATATTAATCAGTAAAGTGAATATTTGGGGGTTGCACTGTAAAAATGAAAAATTGAGAAAACTCATAATTTGAAGGCAACTGTCTTCATTAAATTCTTAAAATAATAATAATAATAATAATGAAGTCTAATAAGAATCTTTTATTGAGAGAATTCAATCTTTATCAAATCTTTGAGTTTTAGAAACTATTAATCAGATATTTGATCATTTTTGAGCCTGAAAAGTTTTTCACTTTTAATCATTTTTTAAACAGATTTTTTTTGTTTCCCAAACTCACAGATTGATTATTATTATCAGTTTAATTAAAACTGTGATGGAGGCGTCAGTTTGGATTTAAATAATCAGAAAATACATTTTCATTTTGTTTTAAATGATTCCAGTTGAACAGTAAACATTGTTTATTAAAATAATAAATTAAAGTTTATATAATTCTTTATTGAACAGACGATCATTAGAGAAAGAAAAATCTAATCAATAATTAGCAGTGTATAAAATAAGAAGAGAATAATAACAATGACTGTAATGTGACAGCAGGGGGCGCTGCGAGCAAAGCCAACTGAGCTCAACCTGCTGTCAATAAAACCTCATTTATAACCTTCCTCATTACAACCCAATGATTCCATATCACATATCATCACATATCTATGTTTCTATAATCAATATCTATTGATTAGGACGGAAACTGAAGGCTTCATCATAATAAAATTACAGATTTAATAGTTTCAGGACAGTTTACAGATTGATTTTTCTTCTTATTGTCTGTGAACAGATTCAGATACAGAGTAATAATGTGTTACTCTCTGACCCAGCTGTTTGTAACTGATAACGGACAGATTGTGATTTTATTGTGAAGGGTTGTGCAGCTCTGCTCTCTGCAGTACTGACCTGTGTGCTGGTTTTAAACTCTCAGGTTCACTGACCAACAAACGGTTTAATTTAGTTTCACTACACAATAGATTTCTTATAAAATAAATATCTGGAACTAATGAACATACAGCTGATAGTTCACACAGAGATACTGGTTCTGATTAAATAAAGAGCTTCACTATGTATCAATATCTGTTTTATTTTGTATTAAGTTACAAACTCTGTAAACATCAATAATATAATAATATATATCTAATGGTCTAATTGCAGATTGCAACTCACTCGCTTCAACCTCCCCTCTAGTGGCTGTGAAACACCTCGAACACTTCTATCTGGATCCAGAGTTTGTACAAACATGGCGGTTCAACGTGGCGGACTCCGCCAGAAGAAGTTCTTTAAGTTGCAGCAGAGTGAATGTTAATATGAATATTTCTGAGGTCTCACTGTGTGGATGTTTCCAGAGGGTCAGACAGACTGGTGGAGTCCCAGTGGCTGCAGTGGGGGTGTCACTGGGGACTCTGGTGTATTTTGAGGGACAGCACATTACAGGAGCTGCGGGGAGCTGTCTGCTGGTCCGCCTGTGAGCCCAGCTGTTGGAGCCGGCGGAGGGGCGGAGCGGGGGGCGAGGGCAGAGGAGCAGCGTGGCATCACAACGCGACATCTGCCGGTCCTGGGGGGTCGGACGGCCCACGGCTGGGCCCCTGGCTGGCTCGCCAACATGCTCCGTGTTGTCTGACAGCATTTAGCTCGGTGTTAACACGCAGCTGGAAGCAGGGGGAGGACGGGGGAGGACGGGGGAGACACTCAGGGGGAGTTAGAGAAAGTGTGAACAGGCCGGAGGTGAAATGTGACGTGTTGTGTTTCCACAGTAATTTATATAGAAAGAAAAATCACCTTCAACCGCAGTTTATTTATTTATTTAGGATTTAAACAGTTTGTAGAAAGAAAGAAACAGATTGACTTCATTTGTTATTTAAATATTAATGTTATGAATAAAAGTGACTCTATAATGTTAAAGTTATTATTTATAATATAGCATAAATATGGAGCTCATTTTAGATCCATTAATAATAATACATCGTCATTTATTATTGATTGTATTTTATATTATCAGAATCTTAAATCTGTAAATTAATTGTACTTAAGTAAAAGTACTTAGTTACTTTCCAGCACTGTTTATTGTTTCCAAACAAACTGTTTTTTAACCCGATCAATACTTTCTGTTTGCTCCAATCACTGTCAGTGCTGATCATCAATTATTCATCCAATCACACACACACACACACACACACACACCTTCTCTGTCGATCAATATCTGATCGTTCAGACGAGGCCTTGTGAGATTTCCTGACATACAAAACTATCTGATTATTATTATTATTATTATTATTATTACTGTTATTGTTGTTGTACATAAATAAGAGTAAATATATCACAGTATAGAATACAAACACATTGACATTAATAAGTAAACAGGTTCTGGCTGTAAAATCATAAATAAAAATGAAAACAGACATTTTATAAACAATTCAATGAACAACCCTAACTCTCTCAGCTCCGACATTAAATCACTGAAACCTGCAGTCAGCTTCTGTCTCTGTGTTTCTGTGGGCAGTGTTTTTAAGGTGGAACTGCTTTATTCAGTGGGCTCCCGGTAGCTAAACCTCTGAACCATGAACACCCTGAATGGAATTCCTAACCCGGGAGAAGCTCGACTGCAATGACACGCCACACTGCTTCAACCTCATCACACTTCCTGTTTTCTTTTTGTTTTAGTGGCAGAAATGATTGTACGTTTTAATAAAATGCAGTTTTTGTCTCTTCAGACGTCCTGGAGTCAGATGATCTTCGTCCTCATCAACCTCACTGTGGTCCTCACACTGATACACACTCCACATGGAGTTTGTTGCTGAAGGATCAAACGAGAAGAAAATCTCAAAACACAATGAATTCCTCAAAGACGCCCCAAGAAAATGTAAAATATATTAAACATATATAAATATAAAATATAGGTAATCCTCTTAACTGCTGCTGTTAGCTGCACAGCCTCCAGCTGCTGGAGCTCAACATGCAGATTAATGCTGCACACTGTGTGAAAGGATCTGCTGTCTGCTGGGTCCACACTCATCTGCTACAGTAAATACTGTAAACTTTATGTCATATGTTTTCTAATAATGCCAAACTGCCTCATCTCAGCTCTCCTTTTAACCGTTAATATGAAACATGACCCGACCTGCAGTCAGCAGCCTCCACTGTCAGACCCAGTGACCGAATATAAACAGTTCACTTCAGTTTCATCTCTGGTGGACACAAATTACAGGTTGTAAGATTACAAATGTGAAAAATATGTTGCATATCATTTTCCTAATAGTCAGTGAAACAGGAAGGTATGAAGGACGGAGATAAAGGACAGAAATTAATGATATGTTATTATATTTATATGATTCACAACAAATATTGTTTAATAAATATTCCTGATTTAGATTGGATCATTATTGATAATGGAGCTCTAGTGGAACCTTTCAGACTCTATATGGATTATAGACTGTTGGTTTATGCTCAGTTATAAAGCCGTTGGCACTAATGGACGCAGACGCAGTTTCTGTGTTTCTACATTAGTTTATTATTTATTTCTGTTGTTTGATGTTTGCTGCAGTGTTACTGGTAGAACAGTTGTGTTTGTCTTTTCTTGTTGTTTGGATGTGAGCGACCCCCCTGAGGAGGCGGTGTGGGGGGGTTTATTAAAGGCTTGGAACAGCCTTGGAGGTTTATTCTGGATGGACATCAGAGATACTACGGAAGCCCATTTCTGCCAGTAAAATAAGAAAAATAAGACAAAATCTTAGTCTTAATAATGTTCATGTGATGTCACAATTCTGAGATAAAAAGTTGCAATAACAAGATAGAAAATGCAAATTATAAGATAGCAAGTCGAAATGTCAACATAAAGTCGTAATTATAAGATAGAAAGTAGGAAATCACGATAAAAAATCTAAAATTACAAGATCAAAAGTCGAAAATATGATAAAAAGTTAAAATCACAAGATAAAATTATTCCATTTACCCGTAATTCAGTTTTCACTGTATATTTTTATTTTACTGGCATTAATGTGCTTCCATAGAATAATGATGAATTCACCTCCTGCAGTATATCTTCCACTCGGCGCCCCCCTGAGGAAGCTGCTGAATGTACAGATCCTGAGACCAGAGTCAACAAGACGTCCTGATCAATCAGTTTGTTAATCCGAACGCAGCGGAGAAGAACGTCCGTGCTGTTTGAGTTTAAAACCTTCACATATGTTGGACGTGATTCTGATGAAGAAGAGACCTTTTTCAACTGAAGTCAGAGACTTTATAGTCGTTGTCTCTCTTCAAAGCCACCAGACTCCTTTGATAAAACCAGTGATTTTAGTTCTCAGAGCACACAGATGGAGGCAGCGGTAGAGCAGAAACTACTGTTAGTGTTTGTGTTGCTGTGACTTTGGTGTTTAAACACGTTCATTCGGATCCAGACTAACGTTAGTCACAGCAGATCGAGGCAGCAGGAGACCAGACTGCGTTCACTGAGGTTAAATCCCTGCTTTTATCAATGGAGTCTGGTGGCTTTAAAGAGATATATCTGAAATCAACGGCTTCAGTTCCTGTCAGAAGGGCTGACAGCGAGGTAAAGTGCTGTAAATATATCATATATAATAAATATAAACATAGCAAGCGTGTTTTTTAAACAGGCTATGTTCTTTTTCTCCTTAAAAACAACTTTTCGATAAAAGCTTCTCGTGGTTCCTCAGTTTGATCAATTTGAGCCACCGTGGTTTTCTTGTCTCCTGACGTCCCGGAGCTGAGTCAGTCAGCTTAGCTACTAACAGCTGGCCAGGCTAACTGCAGTTTTATTTATTTACTTATTTTTATAAAGTAGGTCTTTGTACAGTTATCAGTGAGGCTCTCAGAAACAGGACTTCCTGTCAGTGTTATATAAATATATATATAAATATAAATATTTATATACATATAAATATAAATATATAAATAT